AACTTCAATACTTTTGTATAATGTTTTGTATTTCCTGGTTTTATAGCATATATTGGTTGTTACTGTATGTTATCGGACTCTAATTAATCTAGCTTTCAGGATTATTTTTCAAACAAGGCAGCAACAACATTTTTGAGTCTTAACAGTTAATTTTCTCTTCCTCATGTTTATACGTTTTTGATGTAAGGAAGTTAATTAGGACTCTACAATCATTGATCAAGATTGAGATCTAGCAATAGAGTAACGAGAATGAGTAAAAACTGACTAAAAAGCTCTCGGAATAGAGTAAGAAGAAGAGATAATGGTTAAGGGTTGAGCTATTGCAATGGAGTAAAAAGAAGACACAAGAGGGAATCCTCAATAGTCGCGGTACTTGAAATTATTTTAGGCAGGATTAGAGTAAATTGTAATGAAATTGTTACAACGCCGGAAGTCACGTGACGCTGGTGACATGTGATGAGGTCCTCGAATGATCGGGGAGGCTCAAGTGTGTTCTGGACGCCCCCTTCGTTGGTATATAAGCCTGACAGAGAAGCCAGCAATGGATAAATAATTGAAGATGCGAACAGTAGCGACGATAATATAAAGCATGTATTTGTACTCGTACAGAGAAATGTTTTCGAGATTGTGAATCGCTGTGATTTACAGCATGTATTATAAAAGTAATTAAGGTTAAAGTGACGATAAGCGTACTGATTGTGAAATTACTGTGTGCTAAAAGTTTGTATCGAAGAAGAATAAACTGGTTTAATCAAGAAAGAACTTGTATCGCTGAAGTTCATCTGAAAGAATTTCTACAGGAAATTATCAAACAAGCAAATATGCAACAAATTGGTGTCAAAAAGTGGGATGGAAAAGAAAAACGAAGATGGAAACGAGAAGTGGCAAATCAAACTACAGCTTAGCAGATTTAATGGCAGCAATACAAGAACAGCAAAAGAAACAAGACGAACGAGAAAAGAAACAAGAAAAGAGATTACAGCAGTTGTTAGTTGAAAAAGAAAAGAAACAAGAAGAGAAACAACAGCAGTGGCAAGAAAACCTGCAACAGTGGCAGCTCGAACAGCAAAATAAACAAGAGAGATTACAGCAGTTGTTGGAGGAGAAAGAAAAGAAACAAGAAGAGAGGCTACAGCAGTGGTTGGAGGAGAAAGAAAATGAACAAGAAGAGAGACTACAGCAGTGTCAAGAAAACCAGCACCAGTGGCAACTGGAACAAGAAAGGAAACAAGAAATACAAATGGAAAAGATTAGTAAATTTCAAAGTGAATTAAATACAATAAAGGACTGTCTTTTACACAGGGAGGATATATTACCCATGGGCCTAATCAGCCCCAGACAACAGAAAGCCCCTTCCAGACCCCGCAGCTAAACCCT